TACTTTTAATAATGAACACTTCAGAAATACACCAGTAAAAACATTTATTATTTGAGATTAAAACTCGAATTAAATTATAAATATTAGTTACCTATGTTGTTATAGCTTTTATAGGCCTGTTTAACGACTTAATAAGTTACCTAGCGAAAAAATCTGTGCGCGTACCTACCACTATTGTTACAGGTTAATTCGTTAAAGAAATATGTTACACAAGTTAAAAACGCTAAAATTTTAATGGTATTACTTGTGCATTATTGGCCTTATAATGTAATTTGTTGGAATTATATCTTCTTTAAATATAATTAGACTTTTTAACGACTTTTAAGTTACCTAGGAAAAAATCTGTGCACGTACCTACCAGTATTGTTACAGGTTAATTCGTGAAACAAATGTGTTACATATTATTCGTGGTATTAGTGGTATTATATTGGAATCAGCTTGGCATTAGTGGGGCATTATATGAGAAATTTTGGTATTTAATTTGTATTTTTGGCATTACTTTGGCATTAGTATACAGACATTTGTCAGCGGTTTACTCCTTGTAGATAATCAAAAAGTTTTTTGATAAAATTTGCTTTTTATGTCAGATCATTTCTATGAAAAATTACATTAGATTTTTATTAAAGACGCTGGGTAATTAAAACATTGACTAATAAAGCTTGTCCACTTTAAATAAGGGGTCACGAAATATCCTCCTTGGAGTGTTTGGGTTAAGGGGTGTATAATAAATTAATCGTTGTTTTATAATAAAAACCATAAAACATTTATTTGTGAGTAAAATAATGCAATGGTTGGATATCTCTCCTTTATAATTAGGTGACTAAAAATACACTAAAATAATTAGAAAAAAAATCTTGTACTTATTTAGTAATTACGTCAATATTAATTAATTGACTTTCTAGTCTATTTTATTTTATGTACAAATATATTATTAAATTTTAAGCATTAAGTAATAAAACACTTTGTGCCCTCTTATATCGTAAGAGGTTACGAAATATACTCCTGGTTACACCCCTTACAGAAAACAGTGTAAGGGGTGTAAATAAATTGTATAATCACTGTTTTTTATAATAAAAACTATAAAACATTTCTTATTTGTGAGATTAAAAAAACAAAACAATGCATTGGTTAAAATAAGTACATTCAATACATATGTATGTGTTATAACATAATATAGCCATTACTATTATACTATTATTATTAAAATAATATGTGTGTAACATATTTCTTTAACGAATTAACCTGTAACAGACATTTATATGCCCAGTATATTTTTGTTTAACAAACCAATCAGGAAAAATCCAAAACCTACCGTTATAGGAGGTATAAGATGATTAAACTTATATAATGACAACTACTTATCGGATAACAAATTAATTACTACTGTCAGCTAGTTCAGCTACTGTCTAGGTAGAATATACCTAGAGTACCTACAGCTACCTATGATGTAGGTAGATTAAAGCTTATTTTGACGTTACCTCTCACTTCGGTGGATGGAAGTACAGTACATGATATGGGGACCCTTATTCCGAAAGTAGTACAAAATTAGACCGGGTAAAAGGGCACTATCACCAAAAGTCGATATATTAATACCACCGTATAGAGAAAACAAATACTTATTTTTTGATCCAGTACACAATAAAGTCTTCGTAGGGAGTAATTTTTTATAATTATTTACGAAAAAACATTTCCATTAGCGCTTATGACCAAAAAAAACTTTAAACATGAATAATCATTTAAATCAAGTTTGGTTTAAAAATAGATTTTTTCTAATATAACTTTCATTTAACGAAAAACGAAGGCCTAAATGAAAAAAAGAAACAATTTAAAAGTTTCGCTTATGTCTTGACAAGGTATCAAAGCAAACCCCATATTTTTTGCTTTTAAACTAATAAAGATATATCAATAAACAATTAGCGATGTAATGGTTTTTGCGCGCGCTGGCCGACTGCCGCCGCTGCGCCGAGATTTCCTATACCCATGTATATATGACGTCATGGTGTGGCAAATGTAGCATTTTAATTCGATTTGGGCTCCCTTATACCTATAGGATAACAGAAACATTTTCAATGTTAAAATTGTAGAGAGAAACAAGCCCTATACCATAGGATACAACATTTTAATGAACAGTGCTTTCCATATAATCAATAAAATGAAAAATATACGAAATAATATGCATGTACTGATTTCTTTCGAAAATCTACAACTATGAAACTATGAACTCTTCCTGGACACAAACGGTACATTGTGAGACAGAAAATTGTAGAGAGAAACAAGCCCTATAATATAGGATACAACATTTTAATGAACAGTGCTTTCCATAAAATCAATAAAATGAAAAATATACGAAATAATATGCATGTACTGATTTCTTTCGAAAATCTACAACTATGAAACTATGAACTCTTCCTGGACACAAACGGTACATTGTGAGACAGGAAATTGTAGAGAGAAACAAGCCCTATAACATAGGATACAACTTTTAATGAACAGTGCTTTCCATAAAATCAATAAAATGAAAAATATACGAAATAATATGCATGTACTGATTTCTTTCGAAAATCGACAACTATGAAACTATGAACTCTTCCTGGACACAAACGGTACATTGTGAGACAGGAAATTGTAGAGGGAAACAAGCCCTATAACATAGGATACAACATTTTAATGAACAGTGCTTTCCATAAAATCAATAAAATGAAAAATATAGGAAATAATATGCATGTACTGATTTTTTTCGTGCAGTATATACAACATACTTATTGCAGTATTTTTTAAGTATCTAAAAAAGTTAGTATTATGTGATATGTTATAGCCTAAGATGCTGATTTAAATACTAAAGAAAACTTTCTAAAACGGGTCTACTTCAGTGACGTACATTAAAATGTATTATTTTTTTTATTTTAAAAGTTTTACGTTAATTCAAAACGTCTGTATGCCACTGAAGTAGACCCGCTTTGCAAAGTTTTTTTTATTCTAATATCGTTAGGCCATAACATATCCAAAAAATTATAAAAAAAACATTTAAAAATAAAAAAAAATATTAAATAATTCACGCTTAGTTAATTAAGTTCCAATTTAATTTGGCCCACAGTATGCCAACATTGGACATCCGACTTTGGACGTACTTGTGTCAACTTTGACAGACGACAAAGTAACACATCAATTATTAATGGATATTCATATAATATACAAATACCTAAGTAAATGAGTATTTCTTTTTTATATTATATTTTCAAGAAATTTCAATATTTTCTTGATTTCTTGTCAAGAAATCTTGATCTTGAGAAGTAATTTCTTGTCTTGTCTTGAAAACCCAAAATCATTTCTTGTCTTGATCTTGTCTTGAAATCAAGACAAGATCAAGAAGTTGTCAAGAAAATGACGACCCCTACTTAAAGTATTAGCCGTAGGGCTTACGGAAAAAATATTTATAACTAAAGGGGCTATGAGAAATTGCTGGAAATTATTGTCAAGTTTGTAAAACGGCCGCTAGGTGGCGCAACTGCTATGAAAAATAAGAAAATAAAAAAAAATTACCTAAGACATTAAAAAACAATCCCATATGAAGCGAACTTTATATTGAGACTGTATACTAGACATTTTTCAAGTCCATAAAGTTCTATTCACAAACTAGCGTGTACGCGCGACTTCGTTCGCGTCTAATTAATCATTTGTAATGGTGATGATAAAGCAAAGCAAGCATTTCCATTCACATACAAACTGGATAAAATTTGAAGACAAAAAACAATATGGCGATATTATTATATAGCGTGGTAATATTTGAGGGTTATATTGGTTTCATCTCGTTGGAATTTGACTTTTGAAAAATCCGTTTGCCAAAAATAAGCTTTTCACGTCAAGCAGTTTAAGCAGAATCGTGGTTAATCAATTACCCAACTTTTTGGAACACCCTGTATGTTTTTCTTTAAATTTCAAAATATGTAAAAAATCAAAATAAATTATGCATGTCCAAGCGTTTTCCCGAAAGACTAACCGTTTTTTAAATAACAAATATTGTAATATTTGAGGGGCGTTTTCACCCTCTTGGAATTTGAGATTCGAGAAACACCTGCTTATCGAACCTCTACACCACACAGTCAATCCGTCAAGCAGTTTAAGCAGAATCGTGATTACTCAATGGTCATATTTTATGAAACACCCTGTATAAATTTTTAAAAAATCCTAAAATACATATGTAAAACAACAAAATAAAATATATGTACGTGTTTAAGAGTTTTTCCGAAAAACTCACCGGATTTTAAATAAAAAATATTCTAATAATTGAGGGGTGGTTGCAATCACCCCCTTAGAATTCGAGTTTCGAAAAATCTCTTCTTATCGAACCTCTACACCCTAAAGTCAATCCGTTTTCCAAAAATCAGCGCCAATTACGTCAAGCGCTTTAAGCAGGATCGTGATTAATCAATGACCAGATTTTTCGAAACACCCTGTATACATTTTTAAAAAACCTTAAAATATGTAAAAAAAAACAAAATAAAATATACGTGTTTAAGCGTTTTTTCAGAAACTTGACCGTTCTTTAGATAAAAAATATTGTAATATCTGAGGGGTGGTTTCACCCCCTTGGAACTGGAATTTCGAAAAATCCCTTCTTATTGAACCTCTACACCCTAGAATCAACCTGTATGCCAAAATAGAGCTTCTTACGTTAAGTGGTTTGAGCAGGATCGTGATTAATCAGTGAGTCAGTCACTTAAGGATTTTATATACAGTAATACCCCGACTTACGCTACCTCGACTTACGCGAATTCGGAGTTACGCGATTTAATTTTCTCGTCTATTCGTTTTTTGTTTGAACGCCGTGCAGTCAAGGTCAAGCGGCGGCGTTTGTTTCTGACTCCCCCCGCCCGCATTATTATTCGTTCAGTTTACAACAAGCACATACGTGTAGTGCGGAATCGGCGCGTAGGTACATAAGTTACGATTTTGTGTTTTTTTGTGCGTTGTGCGACGACCTGAGATATTTACTAAGTACTATGGCATCCAAACGAAGTAGAACCGACTCTTTTGCTTTAAACAAGAAGAGAAAAACATTATCTTTGGAGTGTAAACTTAACATTATTAAAGACTACGATGCAAAAATAAAAATTTGTGATTTAGCGAAGAAGTATGAACTTCCGGAATCGACAGTCAGATCAATTACGAAAAGTAAAGAAAAAATTCTCGAAGCTGTGAAAAATGCTCAGTCTTTGAATTCAAGCATCATTCGTAAACGGCATGGTATTATCGCTGAAATGGAAACATTGTTAAAATTATGGTGTGATAATCAAGTAAGTGTGAAAAATTGTCCTATTGATCAGAACACGGTGTGCTTTCAAGCTAAACAAATTTTTGAGAAATTAAAAGAAGAAGCTGGGGAGATGGCTAAAGATGAAACGTTTAAAGCCAGTAACGGTTGGTTCAGCCGGTTCAAAAGTCGCTGTAACTGGCATAGCATTGCAGAAAGTGGAGAGGCGGCAAGTGCAGATAAAGAGGCAGCATCTCTCTATCCAGAGAAACTCAAAGCTATGATAAATGAAGGTGGCTATACCAGCCAAACCATATTCAACGTAGATGAAACTGGCCTATTTTGGAAGAAGATGCCTAAAAGAACTTTTATTGCGCGTGAAGAGAAAACTTTTCCAGGTTTTAAGGCCGCCAAAGATCGATTGACAGTGATGCTTGGCGCGAATGCAGCTGGTGACTTTAAATTAAAACCTCTCTTAGTTTATCGCTCGGAAAATCCAAGAGCATTGAAAAACAAATCTAAAGCTGGTTTGCCCGTGATTTGGAAGTCGAATCGTAAAGCTTGGGTGACGGCCTCCCTTTTTGAAGACTGGTTTGGTCATCACTTCATACCTGAAGTCGAACGTTATTGCCAGTCTAAACAAATCCCGTTTAAAGTGATGCTATTAATCGACAACGCGCCAGGTCATCCTCCTGCTACTTTAACTAGTTTCGACCCACGTGTGAAAGTTGAATTTTTGCCACCAAATACAACCAGCTTGCTTCAACCGATGGACCAGGGCGTTATCAAAACATTCAAAGCTTATTACACGAGACGATCGTTTGCACATCTGCATGAAGCTATGAGACAAAACAACGAGCTCTCTGTTAAAGAATTTTGGAAACAATTCAACGTTTTAGAAGCAGTGAGAATCATTGGAGAATCTTGGAATGAAATTTCACAAAAAACTTTAAATGGCGTCTGGAAAAAACTCTGTCCATTTTTTTTCTCCACTATGACTCAGGCGGAATTAGTGTCAGGGCCTGATGAAATTTGCAATGTGATCAAAGACGTTGTCGAACTTGGTAGACAAATAAATTTAGAAGTGGATAGTGATGATGTTCAAGAGCTGTTGGATTCACACAATGAGGAGCTTACAATTGATGAGCTCATAACAATGCGTGAACAAGAGGAAGAAATTGATAATCATGATTCTTTGGATCCAGTTCAATTAGAAGATCAAATGACAGTTGGAAACTTGACAGAAGCCCTCAGTTCGATTGAAAAAGGGTTAACAATTTTGGAAAGCATAGACTCCAATGAAGAGCGCAGTTTTGTTACAAAACATGGAATAAAAAAATTACTAGGATGCTACGAGGAGATATTACGGGAGAAGAAAAAATCATTGACTCGTCAGACGACTTTGTTACAATTTATGAAACCTTCTACATCAAAATAACTTCGGATTGTGTTTATACACTCTATTAATATATTTGTATATTGTATTGTCATATTATTTAGAATTAGATACTAATTATTTCCTAAATTATTGTTTTATTTAGTCTCCAGTCCCAATTAAACATACTTTGTATGTCTTTATATGCAAAATTGTACCCCGACTTACGCGAATTCGACTTACGCGGATAGCGCTCAGTCCCACCTATCGCGTAAGTCCGGGGTATTACTGTATTAGTATATATTTCTAAAATCTTCTAAAGGTACGAAAGCGTAGAGCTGCCATCGCAACATTGAAAAATACTTTTAGCAAAATTTACACTTTTCTGTAAATTTACATTTTTTCTGTAAATTTACACTTTTTCTGCAAATTTCTGCGTTAGTGGCAACAGTGGTGCGTTATTCTACGAGTAGTTCCCATCGAACACCGTTTTACGCCAGGTTATTCACAAAAGTTTTCACAACTTCACTAGTAAAGACAGAATTAGGGAACTACTGCGGCAATTAATTGAATGATTGAAGGCATGCGGACTATATGAAAAGATTAAGCAATATCCCAGTATATTCAAAGATATATTTTGTTCTGAAACCACACTCTCTTCAAAAATACTTGAAGAATTATTCCTCATCGTCTATTATACTGAACCTGGGTCTAACACACGTAGTACACAAAATTGAGTGATCTGTTAATTTAGGGATTATGTATTGGATTTCGATATAATAGTATGTATTTTGTTTGTTTAATATGTTTTCTGATAAGCTTTTAATCGACCCGAAAAGTATTGTCACCCTTTCCGATGCATTAGTTTTTGCAACAGGATCTGATTGTCCTCCACCTCTGGGATGACGTAATCTTAGGACATAACTATCCTCTAGCAGACAATTTGAAAGTAGTATTTGATAGTAGTATTTCTGATGAATATCTGTATTACGTAGGCACAATAGCAACTTAATCAGCGGAGAACAATGCTCACTTGTAACTAGTGAGTAACAAACAGGTCAATGCCGAGACGTCGTCCTGCTGAGTAGTAAATTTCGCATGCAATTTACAGAAAAAGTGTAAATTTACAGAAGATGTGTATATTTAAAGAAAAAGTGTAAATTTAACATTTACAGAAAAAGTGTAAATTTAACATTTACAGAGAAAGTGTAAATTTACTGAAAAAGTGTAAATTTACAGAAGATGTGTATATTTAAAGAAAAAGTGTAAATTTAACATTTACAGAAAAAGTGTAAATTTAACATTTACAGAAAAAGTGTAAATTTACAGAAAATCTGTAAATTTACAGGAAAGGTGTAAATTTTGTTAAAATCATATTTCAATGTTGCGATGGCAGCTCTACGCTTTCGTAGATAGGAAACCCATTCCCAAGGCCTCCAAAAGGATAAAGACGGTCCTGAATATAAACTGTTATGATTGAGGAAAGTAGCGCATATACGTAAGACTAAAACATGTTATCACCTAACGGTGAAATGGAATTTTTCGAAGTTTGGCATTTGATCGGTACCCGTGACCTTGCGTCGATTTCTTCAAAGTCGATGCGGCATTTGCAGTACTGCTTCGGCTGCCGGTACCCAACAGAAACGACCTTGGACGCGGCAGTTTCTATTCCGAGCCGGTCTTCATCTCCTTTCACTTACTCAAACGTTCAAGTGTGTCAATTTTTATCTGGGTTATGTGCGACGACCAACATGGCGAAATATTCACTTCCTAGTGTACCACTGAAAATTGTTGGCGCTATTTTAATTTTGTACTCAGAGTACTGAACATTTGTGTACTTTATTCAATATTCGACATTTTTGAAATAGATAATGATGCAAATGGAGTACTTCAGTGCTTTGTTGAGTTCTATTTTATAGCAAAAGCAACTCTTCAGAAATACCCATATCAAAATAAATATAAATATTTACTAAGAAATTCCTTTGGTCAATGTTAGCTCTAAAATTCGATATGCATTAGAATAAGCTAAGTAGAAACTATGTAGTATTACTTACCTACAGAGATTGATAATTTTTAACACTGGATGTTTTATAATAAACTCTAAAAATGATTGTAAATACTGTAAACCTCAAAATAGAAGGAAAACTTTGAAAAAAAAAACATTTTATTTTAACTATATGCCTGCCTATCAAAGGGTTATATTTTTGAAATATTTTAGATGCATAATGATAGTATTCAGCACAAGTAGGTATGGGGGCACTTTGGCCAGACAGTCACTTCCGGTCCAGACACCGAATTCCAAGAATTCTGGCGCCAGACGTATGACGTCATCAACCGCAACGTCTGGCGTATGACGTTACCACCAGCCACATCCGGTCCAGACACCGAATTCCAGGAATTCTGGCGCCAGACGTATGACGCCACCACCGTGACGCATGAGTCATCACCTCTGAACCTTAATAAGTCAATTTATACGCATGACGTCATCCGCCTAACGTCATACAGTTTAATTTATTTTTAATAAAAAAGTTCGGTGTAGGGTTTGAACCACGGACCTGTCGATCGCCAAGCTAACGCCTTAATCAACATGACCACAAACGCATTTAAAATTAATTGTAGGTATGCCTATATGAGGGCCCCAATTTAAAGTTGTCTCAAAGGTATAGATCACGTAATGAACGACGTTCGTACACAAGTCAAATACCATATACGAGCGCTATTCACCAAATGCCATATACCTGGTGGGGGCCCCCCAAATTTATTATTATTAGCACCATTGATTTATCAAAAATAAAATAATAGCGTAGATTAAAAATATTATTTACTTACCACAATAGCTATTCCGTCTACATCAGCTTTGTTTAGGAGGAGGAGGATACGGCGGCAGCAGCGGCGGCGGCGGCGCAAGGTAAGTACCTATAGATATTAACAATAAGAACTAATAAGCGCAAAGTAATTAGATGCAATTCAAAAGGAAAAAGTTTAGGTAAACAAAGTTGACTTCGGCAAACATCGGTTGTTATCGTAAGCGCGCTGGGGTGTGGCACTGTCCTTTGTCGCGCGCGCGCAAGCCCTACTAATTAATAGTTTATAGGATAGTTTAGCAAAAATGGTAATAAAATATATACGTATAGCTCAATGATTTATTATAAAAACATAACGATTAATTAATTTAAGAGTATTGGGAATCAAAACAAAGATTAAATGTCAAACGCCAACTATGTCATAAGTGGTACGCCAAAACCGAACATCGCGCAAGCTCCAAAGTAAACAGAAAAAATTAAAAATATGTACATATTATAATGCAAAACATAACGATTGTGAGGGGTATTGAAATTAATTTAAGAGCATTAAACCAAAAGACATTTCTTTACTAAAAGATTAAAAGTATTAAGTCAAACGTCAATTAGGTGTAAGCGCAAGCTCCAACAGAAATTTTTAAAAATACAAGGACAATAGCCCATCGTTTAACTTCGGTAAACAGCGGCTGTCAAACGTCAAAATTACGCGCCAAAATCAATAGGGTGTGGCAGAACTATCTAAATTTTCACACAAGTCCGAAACAAACAGAAAAAATTAAAATCTAACGCAAAACATAACGATTAATTTAAGAGTATTAAATTAAAACAAAGATCAAACGTCAAACACTGGCGCTAAAATTACTAGGTGTGGCGCGCAAGCTCCAAAATAAATAGAAAAATCTAATGCAAAACATAGTGATTAATTAATTAATTTAAAAGTATTAAGTCAAATGCCAACTAGGTGTAAGCGCAGACTCCAAAATAAACAGAAAAATTTTAAAAATATGTACAAGTACTTAACGCTATAAGAATAAAATTTAGAGATGAGACTAAAAAGCAGACAGTTCTGAGAATCTATCAACAAAAATAATTTAAAAAAGTATTAAGTCAAACGTCAACTATGTCAACTAGGTGTGGCTCTAGGCACAAGCTCCAACAGAAAAATTTTAAAAAATATAATATACGAGGACAATAGCCCATCGTTTAACTTCGGTAAACATCGTTATCAAACGTCAAAATCAGCGCGCCAAAAGAACTAGGTGTGGCGGCGGCAGAAATAATCAGAAAAATTACAGCAAGAGTACACCCGCAAAAACCCTTTGTAATGTAAAAAAACTTTAATATTTATCGAAACGAAAATTAATTTAAGAGTATTGGGAATCAAAAAACAAAGCGTATTACTAAAAATACGTACTTACGAGGTTTATATGTATTATTATCCAGTCACTCAACACATACACTGATGACCTTTTTCTTCTTCAATAGCCCTTTTCACTAAACGCACTGAAAATACACAATAAATTTCTTGATGCAGTACCGTTAAAAGTTAGAAACAAACTGATGATTTTGTAGCTAAAAATATAATGTGAAGGCCGAATGATAAGCAGGAAACAACACCATAACACCAGTTCTTGGAATATACGAGGTGTGTAGAATGAGGTTAATATACGGGGTGTGTAGAATAAGGTTAATATACGAGGTGTGTAGCTAATTTAGTTGATTGCTTTTATAATAATTTTACTACAAAAACAATCTTAAGCCCCAACGCCGCGTCAAGGCATAGCTACATTGTTGGGGACACATTCACACACTCATTCACTCCAAACAAATTACTAGGAGTAGGCAGCACGAGCACAGATCTAAAAATTAATCCAGACGGCTCTTTAATTCGCCAATAATTTTTTTTATTTTTTATTTTTTTATTTTTTTATTTTTTTTTTTTTTTTGTTATTTTTTTTATTTTTTTTATTTATTTGTTATTTATACCATTTATTTTTTTCATATTTTTTTTTTTTATATTTTTTAACTAATAATAATTTGTTTTTTATTATACACATGCACACGTACTCATTCATACATACAAACATACATATATAATAAACTAAGTATCCATTATGGAGCAATGTCCATGCGGTAAAGTCTGAACAGAGCCCTTAATTAGATGTCTCTTATCGTCATGGGGACTTAACCCAATTTTCGACTGCTTTATGGTATAAATATTATGCTTACTAGATCGTATTAACGTTTGCAAAATTATTTTTT